GTTATGTCTTGCTTAATCTTAATCTTAGTGATTGCAAAGTACCTTAACTTAAGTAATAAACTAAAGTACACTAAATAAAGTAATAAACTTAAGTATAAAAAATAAAATTTACTATGGATGTTTGTTTTAGGGTGTAGCTAATTATAAGTTTAGGCATAGGCTGCACTTTACTTTAGGTCCTACACTCATCCTAAATACATTATTATTTGCTTTCTTCGTCTCTATTTCGGAACACATCACCTTATTTTAGTTTCCTTCATCGGTTTGTTTTATGTTATTTTTAATTGTTTTTTATTTAGGTTAAAGCGGCTATTTGCCATTGCACTGAAAGCATATCGTAACTTAAATTAATTTGATCCCTTTATTAGGTGAATGGTATTGAAACAAACTATGATATTGTTTCTCTCTACCACAATCTTTAATACCTTAAATCATAGGTCTAATAACAATAATTATCTTATAATAAGTTCAATTAGTATGCCTAGTCTATTTCAAACATTCCAACAAGAATAAAACCCTTGATTAAATAGTCTAGTATTGACACAGTAAATAAAATTAAAATGCGATTATTCTACAGTAAACAATCGCATAATTGGGTGCTAATACATTGACAACAAATACATAACCTCTAAATCACAATTAGTAAATTAAAGCAATAACAAAACAATATGGCGTCGTCTCAAAAAGAGTAATTTTTTGCCGAAAGAGAGGAAGAAGAAAGTGCAGTCAACCTCCACTCAACAGCTCGATAGGTGTTGAGTAGTTTTGGTTGTATAAGTCCACCGTCAACCGTTTCAAAAATACGAAACGATTGGAAATAGAATGACTCGACACTCAACTCAACAGTCAACCATTTCAAAAATAGGGCCCCTGGTGTGTTCTCTGGTGTTGAGGCTGGCTGCCCGTACAGTAACCAGCAAAGTCACCAGGTGACGCCACCGGTGGCGTCGCCTGGTGACCAAGTATAATAGGGCCCTAAAGGTACCTATGTCAGGGATTTTGAAAGATTTTTAGTTAGAGTTGTTTACTAACAAAACATAAATGAAAGTAAAATTTAAAACAGGTGATGTAAATTAATGGTATGTTTTGTTCTAATATTAATTGTATTTTTTTAAATTTGAAGATTTGTTTCTAGGTGCCATGTGGTTAATGAATTAGACTTTTGCATGTATTATAAATGCAAAACACTACAGTACTCCCGATTATCCGAGCCCTGGTTATCCGAGCCCTCGCGTTATCAAAGGTTGTTTTTTGGCCTAAATATATATTTTATTTTCAGTAGGAAAAAAATAATTACATTATTAAAGTGTGTTTCTATTGAAAGAAACGTAAAAATAGCAATTAATTTGCAATTTATTGAAATGAATACAGTACTTGGAATAACCATTCAATACCTATTAATGTAATGTTAGAGTGAACCGTGTGGCATGTTGGCTTGTTATATAAAGTAAAAATATTTTTATCCTATTAAATTTTTTTTATGGTATTCTCAGTAGTTTATTATCCAATGAATTTATAATACAAAACTGCATAAACCTTAAAAAAGGCTTGTCCGCAGTGTTTCTTATAATTTTTACAATTTTAAAATCTTACCTTCTAAACAGGACTTTCCAAATTAAATATCAAGATGGTCTTGCTGACCTACATCCAATTGAATCTGGAATTCATCAAGAAAGTGTCCTCGGTCCCTTTTAGCGAATTTCCCTATAGGGAAGTAGCTAATACCGTAGGTGGTAAGACCTTGGCCCAGAACCAATATACTTTTTCATTTTAATGTCCCTGGAGGCCAAACACTATTCGTTCAAATTTTTATATATGTATTATGTATATATGTACTCACCAGGGTCAGAATTAGATTGTTTTCATAACTTTTTATATATCTATATATATAAAAGGCAAAGCCCTCACTGACTGACTCACTCACTCACTCACTCACTCACTCACTCACTCACTCACTCACTCATCACTAATTCTCCCATTTACCTAGGAGGCTGAAATTTGGTACACTGATTCTTTAGGCATTTTTCAATCATCGGCATTCATTTTGACGTATATTTCGAGTTATGCAAAAAATGCCCTTTACATTTCTTATGGGAGTTAAATTTTGTTTTTTCGAGTTCGTTTGGCTCTTCTACCAGCCCGATTTTCATAATTTTGGTCTTAAAATAAAGCAGTTCTAATAATTACATTACCCTATATGTTTTGGTCTAAAAACCTTAAGTGAAATATCAGCTTTCATTTGAGCTATTGATTATTAAGATTCCAATCTTTATAATCTTACCTAAATCACACTGCTGAATCACGAATCAACAATAATTATAATCGTTTAGGTAGGCTACTTATCTGCAATCAATGATACGTACCTATAACTCAAATTTTATTGAAGTTATTTTATATGTCTTAGTCTTATAATACTTCAAAGGCTTTTACTTGAAATATTGATAGTTTTAATCAGTTAAGTTAAAGATATCCTGAACCGCTCAATCAGAAAACATAAATTTAATTATATCTTGGATATTGAATTTAGTTTTAGAAATATTTTATTCAATACGGTACTAATTACGTTATTCTATTTGTTTTGACCTAAAGAACCTTCAGTGAAATACCAGCTTCCCTTTCAATATCATCGATTTATAGTCAAACGGTCTTGATTGCAACCTCAACAGCAACTGTCACTGTCAGACTTTGACGGGTTTCACCTAGTAAATAAAAACAAATCAAACTTTCATAACTATTTGCAAATCTACCCGAATTAGGCTTTCCAATGACCTATTAATTAATAATATCGGTTCAGTAGAGTTGTAGATTTAATTGTACAAAATATTTAGTTCAGTATTTTCTCATCATTATAAATTGGGAGGTTGCTTAAAATTTTTGCAAATAACTTTGAAATGGTGAGGAAATCGACCAAAGTGGAAGGTATTATTCTGGTAGAGAATAAAATTTCCTACAAATTACTATTACATATTTTTGGAAAATACTCAATAAAGGCAGCCTAAAGTTGGCTACAAATATAAACTTGGATATATAAACTTGGAAAAAAGGCGTTTTAAATGTAATATTGTTTATTTTTATTGTTTTACCTTAAATATGTAATAAAATCAAACTTTCATAATTATTTGCAAACCTACACGAATTAGGCTTTCCAACAACCCATTAAGTAACAAAATCGGTCCGGTAGAAGTCTAGATTTAGTTGTACAAAGTTTAACAAAAATATATCTGATTCAGGATTTTTTAACCACTATAAATTTGGAGATGACTTAGATTATTGCCAATATCTTTTAAAAGGCGGGGAAATCAACCAAAGTGTATGTGATATTATGAAAGAGAATAAAATTTACTACAAATAACCACTATGGACTTCTTGAAAATGCTTAATAAAGGCAGCCAAAAGCTGGCTACAAATAGAAAATTTAAAACAGAAACTTGAAAAAAGCAGTTTTCAATGTATTTTTGTTATTTTTACTTTTTTACCACAAAGATTTAATAAAACCACACTTTCATAATTATTTGCAAATTTACATGTGTTGGGCTACAACCTTCAAAATGAGGGGTCACTCGATGGGTCTTTGTATTTGAAATTTTTGAGTTTCCCCCGAAATCCCCCATTTTGGGGATGTACACCAAGTGGCGGTTATGCCCAAAAAGTACTTCATAACATGCCATAAAGGTATGCCGAGTTTAGTTTTTCTAGTATGGGCCGTTGAAAAAATAACAGGGGGTCTCCACACTTTTTACTAACCCTGTATAGAATAGATGCTATATATGGGACCAAATAGAAACTCTTATGGTTATTTTGGTGGTGGAACCACTCTGATCGGTAAAAGAATCACAGAGAAATTGGTGAACATAGATAGAAAAAAAACATTGCCACAAACAAATTGAGAACCTCCTCCTTTTGTTGGGGAAGTTGATTAAAAATGATGAGTATTTCCATAATTTTTCAGTCGACTTTTCTAAAGTCATTGAAAATTATTACTGTTTTTCTAAAAAAAAAAAACCCGCTGTAATACTTCGCAATTGCTCAAATTCGAGCAACAGGTATATTAGTCATAATTTAAAGGAGATGTATTTGTCACCATGGGCATCTCAGCTTTGGTCACCCCTTTCTAAAAAAAACTTTACATTTCATATTTGATGTTTAAAAAGTTTTTTACATCTCTGAGTAAATGATGGTTTTTCAAGCATTAAAGCTTGAACACAAGTGACAATTTACAAGGGAATTGCATTTTATCTTTGTCTTGGATCCTTGTAGTACCGTGGATTGTTTATATAGGCGAAATTGTAGTTAGTTGTAAGTTACACTTCCGACTGTTGCAATGAAGCAAGGTCAAGCTCTGAGTCTCAACCACACTTGAACCAACAGTTTTACACAATCAATGATAACACATATCTCTGTGTACTCACCAAGTTCTCTTGACTTCTCATAAAAGTAACTGAAATGTCAGCCAAAAACTAACATCATATTATAAACTAACTCAATATTACTTAAAAAATAACTCAAAAACATTTTGAATTATAATTGTGATGTCAATATGAAGAATATAATGTTTAAATAAATTACCAATATTACCCTGTTGTGAGATGAATCAAACAAATCCATCACTCACAGACTGAATGAATTAAATGTTATTGAGTAATTTAATTTTTATTACTCGTAAAATCAAAAGGGAAACATAATTCATATTTTCAAAATATATCAATTAGAAAAAGAGGTTTGATGAGGCACTATGAATACAAATTAATAATGTCTTTAATGCAACAAAAAGCTTTGTAATTGAAAAAATAGTTTTACGCCTACTTGTATTTAATCATATTATGTTATTGTCTAATATTGGTGGAACAAACTAAACCATCAAATAAAAAAATAACAAATTATTATTTTAATAGTTGTTTTACAAGGTATAGTGATACTATATTTTTATTTATTACAAGTGATAATAAGTATAATTAAGTGTAAAAATTACAGCAATGCAATAAAAATAGTATATTACTTACTGTTCTGAGTTCCAAAAGTCTATCTTTAGGCATGATGGCAGTAGAGAAGTGTACACATGGTAGCTAGCTAGCACTGAGTGGGCTTGTCTCTGACTGTGCCTACTCACAAGGTTGCACCTACCTACCTATCTCTCCCCACCACACACAACTTTCTACCAAGTTTAAAGTTGATCTGCCACGGTAACAAACATTTAGTCTAGACAAACAAATTAACAATACAACTGAATTGAACTTACTATTAAAAGGGAATTTATTGTTCAGATTGTATTCATTATTCGTTTAGAGTCTACAACCTACTAAAGTGCCTGATAAATTTTGCTCTACAATTATGCTAATAGCTATGGTCACTCAATAATTTCAGTGACAATACCAATGTAGTGTATAGTAAAGATATAAAGACTAATGTATTCTATATTTATAATTTTTACCCCACAGTTTTTGCTATTAATTCTTCATATTAAGTGCTTATCTTTTTCAAAATTTAAAAAAAATATATACTTCCAGTGCATTATAAAATACCCCTGCCACAGCAAACCTGCAGACTAAGCGAATTCCATTTGCTTGAATTGAGTTTAGTAAAATTTTTTTAAATAACATTAGGTTAAACGGATACCTAGGTTTGCTGCTACAGGGAGGCTAATAAAGTGTGTTTTTTAGTAAAATATTAGTAGCTGAGTGTAAAATAAATAAATTTTCCAAGTTTGGTCAAAATATTTCCATAAACAAGCAAACCACAACATTTTATAATATTCTCCATAAAAATAACATAGGAATTTTAAATTTGCAATTTGTTGAATTTTCCCTGTGTAACCAATAACCGTATAAAAACACTTTGGTATATTAAATTATTAGTTTTTTTGCTCTTTAAAATGGTCTAGAAATAAATTGGGAAATTTTGTGTTTTGAGGGTCAAAAATGAGAAAAACCAATTTGTACCCCATAAAACCCTGTTCCCATAGTCCGATCATACTGGTTCGCAAACTCATTCAAGTTTATCCCGCCTTACATCTTAAAACCAAATTTCATCAAAATTGGACAAAAATTACTCTTGTTATCTGTACTGAATTTGTTGTGATATACAACAAATATGAGTAGACGCGAAGACCTAGTCAGCTGATTAGACAATCGACGACAATACCCACAATGCACATGCACTACGAGTGGTACTGATGAACCTCCAGCTGAGGAGCGGTCACTGCCAGTTGTGTTTCCTGTCTTCTCCAAGGTGAGCTTAACACCGTGTCGTGCAAATCAATTCCATTTGCGGTATTAGCTGGACAAATTTCTATTAACATTAAATTGTAAAGCCTATATCCCACAGGGATATAATTGCCACGCGAAGTGAAAGTAAAATAAGTTTTGAGAAGGGAAGAGTCGCAAAATTTCTTTACCAGCTAGCACAAACCGCCATTGAAAATTTTTGTGAAACAATTCATTCGTGTTTTTTTGTAAAAAAGCACATGTCTCCAGATTTGATTTTTTGGTAAATGATTTATATATGCATTTTTAGCTATTCAATCAGTTTTAAATCGTAGATTGTGATATTATTATACTTTTAGATTTAAATAAGTGAGCAGGTTTTTGTAGAGTAATTTAACGTAACTTGCAAAGAATCTTATTGTTATATAATTATTTGTAAACTCACTATTTTCACATTTGTTGCACTATTCGATCAAATATATTTACTAAGAGTGTAACAGCCATTGTTGTTTGAATTGGGGCAAATAGATTTTTTAATTGGAAGTTGAGGTAGACTGCAGGTTGGAAGAGATGCAGCAATGTTAAATGAGGTTGTGTGTTTTTTACGATAGATGAACCGCCATAGTACTCTGTAGCTATTAATCTATCTATATATATAATACGCTAAGCCGATTTTTGTGAACAGAACATCTCCCTCATTTTTGGACCGATTTTGATGATTTAAGTGTCAAAAAAAATTGCCCTGATGATCTGTAGTTTTGCAAAGTGTTTTTAGTTTTTTGATATCTTTATTAGTTTGGGCAGGATCTTCCATCAAAGTTGGATTTTCTCCCATAAGATTATCATGGGGGAATCTAAATATTTAATTGGAAACTTTGTCTCCACTAATTTGAGAGAACGGCTAGGCGTAGAAACTTGGTAGAGGTATCCAAAGAAATGTCTTGGTCTGTAGATGAGTTATCAAAAGAAAAACAAAGTAAATTCGCTTAAGGCTCTGCCCTAGAAGCCTTTAAAGATCCCTCCACAGATTTGTTTACATTTTGGTCAAGTGGATAATACCATTGACTAGTCAAAGATAATACTTTTTAATAAAACAGCTGTTAATTTTAAAATTGTATTTAAAGCCCCCCATACACGGGCACGCATGTTCGCGAGCATGCTTGTGACGGTGTTGACGACGAGCATGCTCGCCCGTGTGTGGGATCCGTTGCGGCGAGCCCGAACACGTTGTGTATGTTCGAGAGCATGTTCGTCGCTGCAACTTGGGTAGAGATAGGCTAAATGATTCCATCGATGTAGCTGCTATTCCAGTAACACTCGTGGACTCATTACAAGTAATTGTTCCGATTCCAAACGATTACTTCGTTGTCGCCATTACAAAGTAGCCGCAATAGACAGATTGCACTTGTAATCATTATGGTGTTGATACTCTGATGTATTCCAGTTACAGTAATAGATTTAGAATCAATGTTTACAGAAGCTAAATAAATATTTATTTGTGTTTGTAACGAAATAAATACAAATTTAAATGAGTTTCCAAAATAGAGGGTTCATCAATTAAAATTTGTATATTATTACACAAATGTATACAATCAATTCTGTAGTAATTTGTCACAATTAAATAGTTATAAGAAAGGCTAGAATAGGCAAAACTACGAGATATGTTTTTGCACAACGATGGAATTTTTACCAACATTATTTTCAAACCATAGCGGATGGATTTAATCCGAAAACTCAAGGCCTGCCTGGCACACACGGTCGAAAATAGGCCAAAAATAAATCGCCCCTGATTTATGTCTAAGAAATAATGCGTATGTTGCAAAAAAACTAAATGCTGTAATTGCAGCAAAAAAGCAGGCGCACACGTGGCAATTTTTTTTCGAAAAATTATTTTTTTCTGAGTGCCCTAGGAGCTATTTTAATATATATGCCTACTTTGTTGAATTAACCTGTGTTTGTGCTCTTCTATTTATATAAAAAAATTGTATATATTGGGTCCATCTGATAGTAAGTCAGAGACTTTTAAATGGACTGCTTTTAAACTGCACACTTGTTTACGTGATGTCAGTAAAAGGTTCTTTAATTACTATAGGATGTTTGTTGAAAGTTTTAGGCTAGGCGAAAACGAGTGATTATTTTGAGGCAATTATTTCATCGGCCGATCTGTGCATCATGTATTAGAATGGAAGCGTGCACACAGGCAATCAAAAATTGCGCGGATTTAAAAAAAAACTGGATTTTGCTGCAGGTATTTAGGTGAGGCAATTGTCACCCAGAAATCTGTGACGTACAGTTTGTTACCAGTCCGCGCACACGGACGACTAAAAAATCGGCCAGTCGCCGATGTTCCATTGTATTTTAATACCTATATGATCTTTACAACCATTAAAACGTGTTTATTCAAACAGCATATTGGCATCCATTTAAATTTAATCCAAAATGGTAATTAAATATTAAATAAATAAATACACACAACTTGACTGTCACAGCGCACAAGAGAAGCAAGAATAGGCCTAGGAACTGCTATGGAGCGACGAGCATGTTCGCGAGCATGCTCGTCCGAATTTGGAAACTCCAAGCATGTTCGCGAGCATGCTCGTCCGTCTTTTGGAAACGCCAAGCATGTTCGCAAGCATGCTCATCCGTCTGTTGACAACGCCAAGCATGTTCACGAGCATGTTCGCTTGCCCGTGTATGGGGGGCTTTAAACAACACACATTTATTGGGAGTTACTGAACTGTCCAAAAGAAGTATTTGCAATGTTATTTTCTGATTTTAAAATAGATTTTCTTCTGCATCATCATGTCATGTGCTGCAATATAAAGTTCCATGACACTCTTACAATTATTTCTAACTCAACTATCTTATATCCTATTTTACGGGTTGGTGTCTGCCTTTTTCACAACTTTCCCTATATTTTATCATATTATTCTAGACAGATCATCATAGGTTCATGAGATTATTGTCATACATGCTTTCAATCATTGGAAAAATCTTCGATTGTGTAATACAATACAAAATAATACAAGTGCAGAAGGGCACGGTGCCCATTTGAGCCGTGTCCATATTTTGTTAAATTAATAGTGGTTTACAGCAACTGGATAAAACATTTTACAAATTTATGTAGAAACATGTGTATGATTTAGAAAGTCATTAAGCTGGAAAACAATATACTGCAGACTTCTCAGAGAGGTTACTTCGATGTATTCATATCATTCAGCTTAGCGAAAACATAATATAGATATGTATACAAATAAGAACTTGAACTCTTAGAGAGCCTTTGAATGTTTTTATACTAACAAAAAGGGTTGCGCATGTTTACTAGCGCTACTCAGCAACAAAAACTATTTAATTTATCTCTAAAATATTATATATTATAAAGTGCACTGAGCAGCAGCCTAAAAAAATCTATGTAACTTACCCATATAATATAGTTACAAAATGCTCAAACTCGCATTGTAACATTTATAATTCGGCTTATATATTTCTCCTACATAAAATTCATCTGCAGAAGAATTTTATTGTGCTCTAACGTTTCTCATAATATCCTTAACACAGAGACCTTGCCTAAAATAGTACCATCTTGACAAATTATTTGCAGTGGCCTATATTACGGACCGTGGCCCACTGATGTGGGTTGGTAACATTATTGAAAATAACACGACATTGGCTGTAAAAATGGCCCAATGAGTAAATACTATAGGTCGGCCGCTTAGAAAACGACCTCCTCCAGCATTGGTTTAGCATTAGCGCGCAGGTCGTTTTCTAAGCGGCCGAACTATATTTAAGCAGCTACTGTCATGACATCATCCTTTATAAGATATGTTGTTTAACAATGCATGTAAACGTCAATATTTACGTAACAGCTAATTTACATTATTTTTTTTCTTTTTGGAAATG